AAAAGTATCAGAGGGGTCAAGTGGTATGAAATCCATGGCTTTAGGTGGGCATTTCTTATTCAAAATAAATAGAAGAGGTAAAAGGTGTGGGATGGGGTGGCATTGTATATTAAGAAGGTATTCAGATGTGAGGAAATCCAGGAACATGGAGCGGGTGGGGGAGAGAGGAAGGAAGAAATGTAACTGAGAGAATTTGGGTGAAATAAACAGAAAGAGAAACAGAATTGGAAATTCCATCATGAACCTGATTCTCACTGATAGGGAAAAACTGGCTGCTATGGTAGAAATAATGGGAATCTGGTGGGGAAGTGGCTGTCTCTTCCTAGCGATTGTGACAGAGGAGAGGAAGTCTGTGCATAGTCTGACATGCACCCTAGATCTTGGAAAAGCAACCTTCAAAGGATTCATAGGAAATAAGTAGCATCCCATGTATTAAAAAAAAAGTTAGCCCGGAGGGATGAGAGATGCTCTAGAATGAATTTTGAAGACACAATGGGAAACAATTCCAATAAGGAGGGAAAATGGGACCTACCTGAAGATACCAATGTGCATGCAAAGGAAACTGCCCAACGAAATCCAAAAAAGATCCAAAACAGAAATCTACAGAAGACGGAAGTGAGGATGAAGATCAAAGCAGAAATCTACAGAAGACGGAAGTGAGGATGAAGATCAAAGCAGAAATCTACAGAAGACGGAAGTGAGGATGAAGATCAAAGCAGAAATCTACAGAAGACGGAAGTGAGGATGAAGGTCAAAGCAGAAATCTACAGAAGACGGAAGTGAGGATGAAGATCAAAGCAGAAATCTACAGAAGACGGAAGTGAGGATGAAGATCAAAGCAGAAATCTACAGAAGATGGAAGTGAGGATGAAGATCAAAGCATGTGGCAGAGCCCTGCAAAAACAAGCATCCGGAAATGCTAGAACTCAGACTCAGCTCCGGCTGACAAGGGGTGCCCTAGGACAATAAAAAGGGTTTTTTAATTTCTATCGGGAGATAAAAAGAGACTCAAAACAGGGCTGGGGACTGTCCGCTCCGGCCAGACAGAACAGTGCTAACGGACGACAGAGTGAAGGCCAAGCTGCTCAGTGTTGATTTTGCTTTTGTTTTCTCCATGTTGGAAACTTGACAACAGAAGGGATTCATGGAAAATTGATACCAAGAACGTGTTGAAGCCAACTCGAATTGACCAATCGTTCGATTTTCATTACGAGCATTTGCACGTCAGAAATTGGTAAACGCTGCAAAATAAGGCTTGATTCATTGTTCTGTGGATTGTCTAGACTTCAGAATGCAACGGAGAAAATATTAAACTTGAAAGTGTGCCAGGTGTAACATTTTTGGAAAGCCGGTTGTTAAACCTTGACCAGCACACACCTGGTTGAGAGTCAAGAGATGTGAAGTGATAATAAGAGAATCCCAGTCTGTCTTTGCTCAGTTCAAGTCCCTTGGCCCAGATGAACTATATCCTCAGATGTGGAAAGAGCTGGCAGATGCCGGTGCTTTCCAGTGGTGTGTTGGCAAATGCTTAACAATTATCCTTCGGGAAATGTTACTGTGACGTACTTTAAGGTTTAATCTGCGTTATTAAGACTTTAATTAAGTTATTAAGACTAGACTTTCTTAAACCTAGACATTATAAGTCAAACCCTAATTTGTAGCGTTTGCTTCCAAGGTGTAAATGCTCATGCTGAAAATTTAACAATTAGCTCTTGGGAGCTGGTTCAAGCTGGCTCCCCCACACACACCCAGTACTATCTGGAAGATCACGGAGCAGTGTTACAAGAGTGGAGAAGGAAAAATGTCTTACTTTGCAAAAAAAAAAAAAGGAAAAAGGGGGGGGGAATAGAACAATGTCTGATAATTATAGGCCAGTGAGCTTGACTCAGATTACTGGGAAAATTCTAGAACACATCAGTAAAAGGATGGTCGGTAACCATCTAAATAGGAAGGGAAGGGAGGCAATTATTAAGAAGAGGTCATGCTTAACCTCATTTCCTTTCTCTGGCAGAATTACTAACCTGGTAGATGGCAGGAATGTTATGGGTATAGTTTATGTAAGTTTTCAGCAAAGTTTTTGAGACCTCAATTTTTTTTGCATGTGGAGAAAGTGGGAAATATGGATTAGATGAAAATCCAATTAGAGGGTTATATAATTCATTAGAAGGCTGGACTCAAAGAGTTAACCATTCAATGTCAACATGGCAAGAGGCCTCCGGTGGAATGATCTATGCTCAGCCTGGTGATTTTTAAAAATTTTTATCAGTGACTTGGATAAAGGCATCAATAGCAGAAGCACTAAGTTTGCTACTAACACAAAGGTGGCTAACAAAGTTGACCCCCAAAGATCTTCCATTCCATGTTCTCCCTTTCGGTCATCTTTCCGTCAGACTTGTTTAAAACTGAGAGGGGGATATTGACGTCTCCTGTCGCTACTGTGTTACATTGCGTCACATTGCGTCTATGTGTTCTTGAAGCTCAGATAATATTTCATTTATGAATTTGTATGCTAAAGCATTTGGCATATGTAAGATTGTTATGGATATTGATTTATTGTCTATGGTTCCTTTCAGTATAATATAGTTTCCTTGTTTATCTCCTTTTTTGTTTTTGAATAGTTGGTTTTGCTTTGTCAGACAGCATGATCACAACTCTCCCTTTTTTTGGATTTACTTGGCTCATAGTACATTTTTTCCCCCATTGGTCCAAAAGGATCTTGACAGGTCAGAGCTTTGGGCTGAATCTAATCAGGTGAAACTCAATGGGGATAAATATAAAGTGTTACACTTGGGTGCAAAAAAAAAATCACCTAACAAGTACAAGTAATAGGGAAGGCATGATTGGATAGCAGATCTGAAGAAGATCTGAGGCTATTAGGGGACTCCAAGCTCAGTACAAATCTATAGTGGGATAGGGTTAAAAAAAAAAGCTAACGAAAACTTGGACTATATTAGGAAGGGTAGTGCTTCTAGGAATAGGGAGGTGAGAGTCCCACTGTGCTTTGTCATACCTCATTTTAATACTGTGGTCAGTTCTGGTTGATACAGTTTAAGAAGGGCATTGATAAACTGGAGAGGAGAGAAAATGGGATAGCAAATGGCTGTGAATCCTGTCGTATAAGGATTGGTTGAAGGATTGGGATTTGTTCATGCTGGAGCAGGGAAGATTCAGGAGGGAACATGTTAGCTGTCTTCAAATATCTCTTATCTGAGATAAGGCAGAAACAGCACAACTGGGGAGGGTTGCTAAGAGGCCAATGGAGGTTTGAGGTCAGGAAAAGCTTCCTAACAGTGAGAGGTGGAAGGCTGCCCCCTGTCTGGAGGTCTTCAGAGCATGAAGAACCCCTTCTGAGGTTTGTTATAGAGTGGATTCCTTTGTGCAGATGTTGGACAATGAGGCTACCTTTAAGGTCCCTGCCCATTCTCACATTCTGTGAGTCTGTGAACAGAGAACGTCAGAGCTGGGAGGGCCTTTAGAACACAGAAATGTCAGAACCAAGAGAGAACCTTAGAAGAAGGAATGTCAGAGTGGGAGGCCTTTAAGACACAGAATGGACCTGAGAGGGTTCTTAGAACACAGAATGCCAGAACTGGGAGGGCCCTTAGAACACAGAATGTCAGAGCTGGGAGGGGCCTTAGAACATAGAATGTCGGAGCTGGGAGGGGCCTTAAGTAATCATGTGATATAGTAGAAAGAGCACTGGACTTTTTGAATCATTTGATGTGAGCCTGACCTCTGGCTGGGACAGTTATTGTCCACTTGACCTTAATAGCTGTGTGACTTTGGCTGAGTCCCTTAATTTCTCTGAGTCCATTTCCTCATTTGTCAAATAGGGACAATAATACGGTCATTTCTGAAGAAGCAGCTGGAGAGAAGTGACTCACCCAAGATCTCACAACAGTTCAGTGTTAGAGGTGAGATTTGAACCCACGAACAAAAGACACACAATGATCATGGAAAATGTAGACCCGAAGCTATCTTTAGTGAAAAGAGCCAATTAATTTGTCCAAGCCCTTCCTAAGCTCCAAGGGTTCCACGATTGTTAACTGGCCCCAATGAAGAAGACAACTACCCTTAATGTGGGTTGGGAGAGAGGAGGCATGGAGACCTTTTCTGAGATCAACTGAAAAGTACCTTTGATGAGCTTCTGGTGGGAGCAGCAAGGGCCCCCTCCCCCAGGGTAACATCCCCCAGAGATGGTTAAGCCCATCCCCTTCTCAATCCGCACATACCTCTCTCCCTCTACCCCATTGCTTTCTGATGGCACCCAACTCTTGAAGCAGCCCACAGCCATATGGAAATTTGGAACCTCCAATCAAACCCTTCCCTTTTAAAATAATCTTTGTTTTGCAGATTCCCACCCTGAGCTAATGGTAGACACCAGTGAACCCTGGAGTCTCTACCCTCTACCTCTGTCCCGCCCCAGCCTGGGGAGACAGGGAATAAGAAGGGAGAGTTGGAAGAACGTGATTAGAAGGGCTTAGGGGAATGGGGAATGGAGATACACAGTTTAGGGGTGAATAATGAAATGGACTTTTGTGGTCACTGAGTTTTGATATAGGGCCTGATCCCTACTGGGCCTTGGAGAGCCCATTTTAAAAGCATGAGGACAAACAAAAAAGTTAATCAGAAGCCAGTCCTAACAACAGCACATCTAATTGCTTTTGAAGTTCCTGGTTTTCTCCACTCTCCTCCTAGGTTCTAGGGTTGACAGTAAATCAGGGGCTGTCTTCCACCGGCTCAAACAGCTGGGCCTCCAGGCCCTGAAAGGCAGCCAGCAGCTGCTCGGAAGGAACAGCAGAGAGAGCTGTGACCACTTGTTTATTAGTGCAAGGTGAGAAGCTCCATAGTAGTGAGAAAATGGGCCAGAGAGGCAGTCTGGGAAATCAGGTGTGCACCAGCACCATCTCACCCTACACCACCACCCAGGTGGCCTGCTCCGAAGAAGGCCAATCTCATGGCCTCTTTCCCACACAGAGCAAACCAGGAGGGACAGAGGCTATGGACTCAGGCTTTTTATTGGTTGGCTTCTTCTTTAGTCACCCTAAGTGACCATTCCATTCAACTCTATTACACCAACTGGCAGCATCCTGTTGGCTTTGCCCTAAGGGCCAGTAGGCGGCACACACACATACTAAAACATACACACACACACACATAACACACACACGCACACGCACACAGAGACAGCCTTAGGTTGGGATGTTTCAATGTCTCTCAGAATTATATTATTATAACAAGTACAACAAAATTGGACTTTGCCATTAAATAGTACAGAAGGCAGACCCAAGTTTACCATACAAGCATTAAAAATACTCTGGACACTCAAGCAAATTACAGTGCAAAGCCTATTTTCACCACCCAACAACAGAGGGGGATGGGGTGGGGAAGCGAAGTTTTCAAAAGACACAGGGGCAGCGTTGGTATCCGGGCATGGGAATGGTAGGGCATCCTTTGCCTGGGCAGGTGGAGAAACCTGGCCACTTGTCTCCTGCCATCAGCAGCATGTTGGACCCTTCCTCCCTTTTCCTGTTGCTACGTACAGGGGTGGCCCTGTTCTACTCTCTTTCTAGGTGGAGATCAGGGTATGAGACCCTGCCTCAGCTGATGAACATGGAGCTGGGTGGGGACCACAAGGAGGAAGAAGTCACAGCCTAGTGGGAAGCATGTTTCTGCTGGTATCTGTACGGCTGGTCTGGCGGGAAGGTTACCAGCTTGTGGCCACACAAGGTGGGGTGGTCCCTAGGACAGTAGGTTTTTAGATTTCAAAGTGCCAGGGTTAAGATGTTTGAAGAAAATAGGGTCATTGAGAAGGTGGTGACTATGCCTTCTTCTCCAATGAATGCAGCAAGAAGGTAATTACGTAGGGGAGAATTTGGGTGACCTCTTCATAATGGCTCCCTATATCCACAGGAAGCCTTCCTACGAGCAGGCCATGAGCTTGGTGGTGGAGAGGATGGGCAATCCCATTGCAACAAACCCCAATACAACAAAGGGTCTTTTCTTTTTTCCTGTTAGAAATAATTTCCACACCCCAGCAAACAGTTCAAAGAAATAAGTGCTTTCTCATCTGCTTACAGCAAACTTGAGGCAATGGATAGGTCTTGTACAAGATGCTTCTTGCTTCTCAAATTCATTTCACTTAACAGTCATTTTCTATAACAAAAGAACCTGGTATTGACTGCACTGTAGGTAGGAAATAGAGAACTGGCCTAGAGGAAACTTGGAGAGAATGCCAGAGCTGGGAGGGCCCTGAGAACAGGAGATGTTAGAACAGAGAAGGTCCTTAGAACACAAGGTCAGAGCTGGGAGGCATCTTAGAACCCAGGATGTCAGTGCTGGGAGGGCCCTTAGAACACAGAATGTAAGAGCTGGGAGAGATCTTAGAACACAGAACATCAGAACCTCAAGCAGCCTTAGAAGGATATCAGAGCTAGATGGGAACTTCCCACATGGAGTGACAGACTGATCACAGCATGCTGCAGCTGGAAAGGCCCTTCCACTGTGGTATTTAGAACAGAATGTTAAGTGCTGGGGATGGGGGATGTGGCACACAGAACATGAGATTTCGCAGAGATGTCAGACTGTCAGGGCCTTAGATAGCATAAAAATTATGGAACTGGGGTGGAAAAAGCCCATTAGGGGTCATGCAATCCAACCCCTCTCATTATTCCAAGGAAGAAACTGAAGATGAGAGGGTAAATGTGCAGTCAAGCTAATCCTCTGCCCCAGCCAAGGCAAGCCTTCTGGTCTCTGGTTCAGGGCTCCCCGTGCTCCCATGAGCACCTTCACACTCAATGTTGGGGTGAAAGATCTCTACGCTTTTGCTCCCCACCCTCTTCACCCACCTCATACATATGTACAAAGTTGCTCTGCAAGGAAAACTTTACCTAGCTCCCTGTCCCCCAATGGAAACAGCCAAAAGAGAAAGGTGAGTGGGTGTGGTTTGTCCAGGCCAAACTTATGGCTCTCTCTGGCTGGTGTTAGTGGTCCTTTACCCCAAGGCCTCTGGGAATGCACTCTTCTTCGGTGGGCAAGATGCTCAGAGGAGGAACAGATGGTCTGGGACCCATCCCAGGGCCCACCAAGAGCTGGAGTGGGACCTGCCTTTAGTACCCAGCCAAAGGACCTGTGTGTGGACTTTACTGGGAGGCCTTCCCACCAATCACCTGCCTGACTCCCTGTCCCAAAGAAGGAAGCCCTGGGCTCAATATCACCAGGAACTGGATCTCCCTAAAGCCATGGTCCTATCGTGTTCTCGGCCCGATATTGTCACCTATAGACCCCAACCCCGGCTGCGAAAGAGCGATGGGGTTCAGCAAAGGCAGGGAGCAGGAAGGTGTGGGAGGGTCTTGGGGGCATCCTTTGGCTCTCAAAGTGTGAGGGGACACTGGCCAGGAGCAGAGGCCATCTGGCACTTTACCAGATGAGACAGGAGCATGAAACTAAGCAGGCGGGCGGCCTTCCTGGTGACTGATGGTGCTCTTTTGGGTTATTACTTGAGGAAGAGGTAGACTCCCTGTCCTAAGGAGTCAAATACTCTTTGGCGGGTAGAATTCAGGCCTTGGAAAAGGGAAGTAGGAATAACAAAGTCTGAGGTTGTTGGGTGGGAGGGAAAGGGAAAATTTGCCTTCTCTTTGGGGATTCAGGAAGAAATGAATCATAGAACATACACAGAATGCTAGAAGAGACCTTAGAACACTGGTTAGAGAAGGAAGGGACCTTAGACCACAGAACATTAGAGCTGCTTTAAGGACCTTAGAACAGGGAACATCAGAGCCCCGAACGTTAGAACTGGAAGCAATGTCAGAACACAGAACATTAAAACGTGAAGGCGCCTTACAACACTGGGAAACGAACGTTGGTGTCTGAAGGGAACCTTAGAACCTAAGATATGGAGCTGCAGGGACCTTGGAGGTCCTTTGGTCCAGCTTCCTCACTTTACAGAAGAGGAAACTGAAGCTCAGATGGGGAAGGGACTCAGCCTGAGGTCACACAGCGCCTCACTGGCCGAGCCCAGGTTTTCCAAGGGCTTCCCATTCCATGATGCTTTGGTTGTTTCTTGGAAGGTGGGTCCTATGTACACAGCGGTCAGCAACTAAAACTCATTCCCCACCCACCCCAGCCCGTCAGTTTGATGTATTGACAGCTTGGCTTCCTTCCTCCCCTAGGTCTCAGGTCTTCCTCTCCCTGGGAAAGAGGGGGCCCTTCTGGTGCGGCTGTCCAAGCCCTGCCTGGAGCCTCGTGATTCAGGCCAGGGACGCTCCATGGGGGCCTGGAGTCAGGATTGGGACAGGATGATCCCAGGGAGGCCCATCCTCCATGGTGCCCATCAGTATGGCCTCCATACCGACTCGTCCATTCTTCCGGGGGTGGTCATGGCAGTCGGGGAGTTGCTGTGACTGCCGTCAGCTTCGACGCCATCACTCTGGTTGGCCAGGCTGGGGTTCATGAGGTTATTTCCCGGCCCGGTGCTGGTGCAGGAGGACAGCATGCGGGTGGGGGAGCGCTCCCCACCGGCCACCATGGAGAACTGGTAGGAACTGGAGGAGGTGCCATAGTACAAGTGGTAAGGGGAGGGATTGGTCTGGAAGGGCCCACTCTGGTTCTGGGTGGAGCCTGGGTAGGGAGGGGGGAGGTATGTGTGGTGGAAGCGGGTGGCCGTAGGCATGCTGGTCATGCTAATTCCGCCAATGCCTGTGGGGGAGGGGTTGGCCGTGTAGGAGAAGGCAGCTGACATGGCCCCCGGGTAATGCATCCGGGGGTCCGAAAATCTAGGCTCTGGGAGGCCTGGCAGGCTGGAGAAAGAGCGATCAAATTGGCGTGGATCGGAGAATGGACTTAAGTCAGATGTGCCTGTTAAAGGAAAGAGAACTGATCAGTAAAACAGGGAAGGTTTATTAGGGTTGTTATCAGGGGGCAGGGCAAGGAGAAGAGTAAGGGGCCCTGGGGGAGGCTCTAGAGTAGTAGACAGCCTGAGAAGAACACAACACAAAAGCCTGAGATCGTGGAACATCAGAGCTGGGAGGGCTCTTAGGACTCAGAATGTCAGAGCTGGAAGGGCCCTTAGAACCCAGAATGTCAGAGCTTGGAAGGTCCTTAGAACACAGAATGTCAGAATCAAAGGGACCTTAGAACACAAAAAGTCAGATTTGGGAGGGACCTTAGAACCCAGAATGTCAGAGCTGGGAGGGCCCTTAGAAGCCAGAATGTCAGAATCAAAGGGCCCTTAGAACCCAGAATGTCAGAGCTGGAAGGGCCCTTAGAACCCAGAATGTCCGAGCTGGGAGGGGCCCAGGACACAGAATGTTAGCATTCAAAGGGATCTTCAGAGTACCAAAACTTTAAAACCTCCTAGGCTGCCAGGCTGTATCTGCTCCCAGGGTTGCCCCCAGCCTGTGAGATTAAGGAAGATTCACAGACTGCTTAGGACACAGGACGAGGATATCAGCTCCCAGGGTAATTTGTAAAATGTGCTTAGCACAGTGCCCGGCGCACCATAGGTGCTATAAAAATGCTCATTCTCCCCTGCCCCCGTGTTCCCTTCCTTCTCCTCCTCCGAGAACAGAAGGTCCCCGGAGGGAGAGGTGTTTCATTCTCAGTCTTCTTCTGTACAGTGCCTGCCACAGGCCGGTAGCTGGTAGGTGCTGAATACACGCTTGCTGATTCACTGCTAAACACCTAAACCATTCTATGTTCTACTGGCTCCAGGTCGTTTTGGTGGAAAGAGCGATCGATGGAGAAGGAGAAGATCTGGGTCTGAGTCCCAGCTCTGCCACTAACTCAACGCATGGTCTTAGGCAATATCACTTAGCCACTCCGGGCCTCAGTTTTCTCTCCTGTTAAGTGGGGGCATCAGAGCTGGGGGGACTGATATGGTCCACCCTGCTCTGAATTCTCTGACCCTAGACTTAGAATACAATGTCAGAGCTGGACTGGGCCACAGGCCATAGCAATAGCTCTCATTCCTATTGCCTATAGGGGCAGCAGCGGCCAGAGAGCTGTCCTGGGACACCAGAAACCTGGGTTCAAATCCTGCCTCAGATACTAGCTCTGGGACTCTGGGAAAGTCACCAAATCTCTGCCTGCCTCAGTTTCCTCAACTATAAAATGGGGAATAATAGCACCTATCTCCTAGGGTAATTGTGAGGATTAGATGAGATAATATTTGTAAAGTGTTTGGCCCCGTGCCTGGCACACAGAGCTATATGAATACTAGCTATTATTATTGTAATTATTATTATCATCACAAGCACCTGGTGAAGTAGGTCTCTTATTTTCTCCTTTTTGAAGACAAGGTGACTGAGGCTCAGAGATATTAGGTGACTTGCCCACAGTTACAGGGCTGGTGAGTGTCAGGGATGGGATTTGAACCCAGGGCCCTTAAGAGACCATTTAGCACAATGCTCCCATTTTACAGACAAGGAAAGTCAAGGCCAAAGAAGGTAAGTGATTTGTCTGACCTTATGTGGTGAGTAAAGAGCAGAACTGGGATTCACTGACTTCTGGGGGTTGGTTTTTTGCCTTGACACATCGAACTGCTTCCCTTTCTCTGCCTTTCACTGGCACAGGAGCTGATGAAGCATCTTAAGGCCCATCAATGGCTCAGAGCCCTCCCTGTGCCCCCAGGACCCCCCCCAAACACAGAGCAGCACCAGCTCCATCGATGTTACCCACACGCCCTTCCTGAGGCTGGGCCAAGGGGCGGCCCCTGGAAACCTGAGATGCATACTGCCGCTGTCTGCTGGCCAATGAAAATAGTGGAAGGAAATGTTTATTTTCTTCTCAAAATTGCCCTGGCTGCTGCACTCACTGAATGAGCCCATTGAGCTCTAAGAATTTCTCTGTGTCGGGCGGTGCCCTGGGCCCCATCCCCGAACTGAGCGGGACTGGAGAAAGGCTGAGGTGCCTGGACCACTGGGGCTCTACCCCCCTTCCTTGAGCAGGCCTGGCTGCCCCGCCCCGAACAACCCCAGGGCCGCTGCTTCCTCCCAGGAAAAGGGAATGGGGCTGAGGCCCCGAGGCCTGGGCCTGCCTGGTGGTCAGCAGATAAACAGAAGCTGAGGGGGGGGGGCTCCCAGCTATTAATAGATGAAGACAGAAACCCCAAAGGAGGAAGGCCAGCTAGAGGTGGGAATGTGGGAGGCCAAGGGGAGAAAAAGAGAGTGATATCCCCCAGCCTGCTCACGCAGGGTGAGCAGGGGAGGCTGGGGGTGGGAGAGAAAGAGGAAGGGCCATGTGGTCCCTGGAGGAGAGAATGGACAGAGTACTGGGTTCAAATCCCACCTCACATGGTGCTGTGAGCAGGGCACTAAATCTGCAATGAGAAAAGCTGGTTTGGAAACCCAGATCTGTCACTTATGACCTGTGTGACTATTTGAGGCACTTGATATGAAATGGGGGCATTTGCTATGTTGGGCAGCACTCCTGGTGGAACTCTCTGATGTGGAAACTATATTTTAAGGCAACTCCCAGCTCTGACATCCTGTGTTCTAAGGCCCCTCCCAGCTCTGACATCCTATGTTCTAAGGGCCCTTCCAGTTCTGACATCTTGTGTTCTAAGGCCCCTCCCAGCTCTGACATCCTGTGTTCTAGGCGCCCTCCCAGCTCTGACATCCTGTGTTCTAGGCCCTCCCAGCTCTGACATCCTCTGTTCTAGGTGCCCTCCTAGCTCTGACATTCTGTGTTCTAAGGGCCCTCCCAGTCCTGACATCCTGTGTTCTAAGGCCTCCCAGCTTGACATCCTGTGTTCTAAGGACTCTCCCAGCTCTGACATCCTCTGTTCTAGGTGCCCTCCTAGCTCTGACATTCTCTGTTCTAAGGCCCCTCCCAGTGCTGACATCCTGTGTTCTAAGGCCCCTCCCAGCGCTGACATCCTGTGTTCTAGGTTCCCTCCCAGCGCTGACATCCTGTGTTCTAAGGCCCCTCCCAGCTCTGACATCCTGTGTTCTAAGGCCCCTCCCACAGCTGACATCCTGTGTTCTAAGGCCCCTCCCAGCACTGACATCCTGTGTTCTAGGTTCCCTCCCAGCACTGACATCCTGTGTTCTAAGGGCCCTCCCAGCTCTGACACTCTGTGTTCTAGGTGCCCTCCCAGCTAGATTCCACAGCCCCCATCTTCATCATTCCATGGCATCATCCCTCGATCCCTGGGCCTGGGCATGGCCAGCCCCAGTGGGGAGACCGCCAAGGCTACTTTGTTCTGAATAAAAGTCCCTGCTCTGAAATCTCCCCTAAGTGGTCACCCAGCCGTTACTCGAAGGCCTCCAAGGACGAGGAGCCCGGATGGCTGGTTCTTCCTGATGCTCCATTGGCTTCTTGATGACTCTCCCTCTTGGGCCTCGTGTTCTGCCCTCTGGGGCCAAGCTGAATGAGACTGATCCCTTCTCTGTGGGGCAGTGAAGACACATCTCCCTAGATGTTTTCCTAGACTGCACAGGCGCCATCTTCATCTTCCCATGGCATCATCCCCAGACCTCACCTCACACAGCTCCCAAAGATCCTACCAGCTTTCTCTCCTTCTCCTTGGTTTACCTCGATCTGACAGGTCAGACTAGGACACTGAGGTACTCCAGGCCAACCCCGTCATTCAACAGAAAAGGACACCGAGCCCCCAGGGGTTTAGGTGAACCACCTGCTTCCGGTCACACGCAGAGACCAAGCAGCAGCAGCAGCGTGTAGATTCCCACTTTGCTCTGGGGTGTCTCCTGACTTCAGGCCAGTGAATGATCTTTCTGGGTTTCCCCCAGAAGCAGCTACTGTATTTCAGCCCTAGTCAAAAGTGGCTCTGATCTGGCCCCCTTCGGTCCCCCTAGGCCAACAGGGCCAGGTTCTCAGTCACCAAAGCCATGGGGACAAGCTCACAGTCAGCTTGCTTCCTCCCCCCACAGCCCTGCTGTCACTAGGGCTGTGGAGGGGCAGTGGTTTTGCCCGGAGCAAGGGATACTCTAAATCAACAGGCAGCCAAGACAGCCTGCCAGACTGGCAGCCCCAAGCCTCTTGCTGAGGGAGGAGGGTACAAAGGAAAGGGGGAGACAGGGAGGTGGTCAGTCAGTCAATCAACAAACTTCTGATAAATATATCACTCACTGGATCAGGTTTTGGAGAAGCAAAGACACAAATTAAATAGTTCCTGTCTTCAGGAACATTGCATACCCTAGAACAGAGAACGTCAGATCTTGTGAGGGGGTCTTAGAACCCAGAAGATCAGAGCTGGGAAGGCCCTTAGAACCCAGGGTGCCAGAGCTGGGAGGGCCCTTAGAACACAGGATGTCAGAGCTGGGAGGGGCCTTAGAACACAGGCTGTCAGAGATGGGAGGGCCCTTAGGATGTAGGATGTAATAACTTAGACCAGGATGAGCCAATCAGGGCTGAGCTCTCTGGACCTTTCCCACCAGGGCGGCAGGGTGTGGGTTTGGCCAATGTTTTCTCAGGCAGCATCAGTACAGGGGAGGGAGGGAACTGTAGCCCAGGCCTAAAGACCTGTGTCTCATTCTGGCTCCCCCTGTCCCTTTCTGCCTATGGCCTCCAGGGACTTTACACTACACCCTAATATGCACCCCTGCAAAGAAAGGAAGATCCCTCGGTGGAGGCCGAGGTGCCCTTAGAACCAGACTCCCAGTCACCTTTCACAAATGATGCCTTTTGTGTGAGAGGAAGGGGCCATTCTGGGAGCACACCTGCATGAGGCCTCTGCTCCTGAGGGCCCACTCACTACATCAGGAGACGAGCCAGGACCGATAGAGAAGAGGCAGCAAAGTCTGTTTGTTCAGGTGTTGAACATATTAGGAGTAAAAGGTTTATTTATTTACTAGCTATAACTTAGGTGATGGTTTTATAAGTCATGTAAAATAACCAGATCAGAGGAAAGCAAAGAAATTTAAAAAAAAATACACATATAGACAAACACAGACACACAGTCTATGTTCCGAGGCCTCTTGGAACATCCTCTGACATCCTCTGAATTTCCAAGATCATGATCTGTGTTTATATTCTAGGTTCTCAGGGTCCTTCAAGCTACAATTTTCTGTCTTCTACCTTTCTAGAATCTCTGGACTCGTTCATCAACAAAAACGATATTCTGGGGTCTTTCCCAGGTCTCACATTTTATGTTCCAATATCTTACGTTCTAAGGTCCCTCCTAATCCTGTCATTCTATGTTCTAAAAGTCTAGAATATTCTTGAAAGAACTGTCGAGTTCATGTCTTTGTATTCTCAGAGCCCTGCACAGTGCCTGACCTATGGGAGGTACTTGAGAAAGGTTTCTTGAGTTGAACTGAACCTTGCCTTTTTGCTCTGACATTCCATGTTCTAAAGTCTCTTCTATCTCTGATTTGCTATGTTCTAACCCTCCCCCCACTCTGATATTCTGTGCTCTAAGGACACACCTAGCTCTGACATTGTGTGTTCTAAAGGCCTTCCCAGCTCTGACATTCTGTCATCTAAGCTCCCTCCCAGCTCTGATATTCTGTGCTCCAAGATACACCTAGCTCTGACATTCTATGTTCTAAGGGCCCTCCCAGCTCTGACATCTTGTGTTCTAAGGGCCCTCCCATCACTGACATTCTGTGCTCTAAGGACACCCTTAGCTCTGACATCCTGTGTTCTAAGGCCCTTCCCAGCTCTGACTTTCTGGGGTTCTAAGGGCCCTCCCAGCTTTGACATTGTGTTCTAAGTGCCCTCCCAGCTCTGACTTCCTGTGTTCTAAAGGCCCTTCCCAGCTCTGACATCCTGTGTTCTAAGGCCCTTCCCAGCTCTGAGATCCTGTGTTCTAAGGCCCCTCCCAGTCCGAAGCTCACAGGGTCCTAATGCCAGTTCTAAATTGGAAAAGACATCAGAGTTCACCGAGTTCAGCTTCCTCATTTTACAAAGGAAGGGCCTGAGTCTGAGCAAGGGCAGGTGATTTCCCCACTCTTACACAGGCATTAAGAAACAGGCCCTCTCCCTTCCAGCCCAGGCACTGAGATGATACTTGTAAAGTGCTGAGCACCATGCCGGGCACATAGCAGGCATTACATAAATGCTTAGGCCCTTCTCTTCCCTTTCTGTCTCAGCCAGGGCTGCCCCCAGTCATCCCAGGGAGTTAGCCCTCTGTCTCCAAGGCTCTGCAAGAAAGAGAAGCCCCCTTTGAGCCTGGCTTCCCTGTTCTGATGTCTAACTGGGGTACTGTCAGCTCTTGCTTGGAACAGCATGGCTGTTGCAGGGGATTTCATCGGAGCAAGCTGGGGAGGGTTCCCAGGCATCCCTTCCCCTCTGATGCCCTCGATTCCCTGGGGGAGTAATCCCAGTTGGCAGGGGCTCAGTGTGGCCTGCCCAGCACGTCCCAATATCTCTGGCAGGCCTGCCAGGACAGCATGCCCAGTAGAAAGCACCGTGACCTTGGAGTTGGGAGGCCTGAGTTCCTATCTTGGCTTGTACAGCCATCTGGATGAGTAACCTGGGGCAGGTCACCCAGTTCCATACCTTTACCACCCAGCTTCTTTAGGGATGAGGAAAAAGCACTGTGAACCTTCCATTCATCCCCTGCCATTTCTGCTTTCCCTCTCTTCCCCCACTACTCCCCAATCCATCCTTCCCACCTCCTGTTCAAGCGCTATTTCTAATGCCCTAAGATTGTATCTCTTTCCTGTTCAAAAATGCTGTGTGGCTCCCCATGGCCTCCAAGGCCCCATCCACAGCCTGGCTCTCATTTGCCTGCCCAGGCTTATCTTCCCTTTAGGTCTTCCACCTTCCAGGGAATCTGTACCTTCCCCTGCCCCTAGTTCTCACCCTATCTACGCCTAGCTCTGCCCATGCTGTTCCCTGTACCTGGAACGGTTCTCTCCCTCTTCTGAATTCCACTTTTGGGTATGGCCTCCAGAAAACAGTGACCTTATTTCATAATGCCCCCCACTACCCTGGAACTATATACTTCTGTATATACATATTCTTCTTTGTTAGAATACAAAATCCTTTTGTGTTCAGTCATTTCAGTCCTATCCAACCCTCCTTTGACCCCATTTGGGGTTTTCTTGGCAGAGATACTAGAGTGGTTTGCCATTTCTTTCTCCAGCTCATTTGAAAGATGAGGAAACTGAGGCAAACAGGGTAAAGTGACTTGTCCAGGGTAACATAGCTAGGAAGCGTCTGAGACCAGGTTTGAACTCAGGAAGACCATCTTCTGGACTCCAGGCCTGGCACTCTATCTACTCTGCCACCTAATTGCCCCTGTCCTTGAGGGCAGGGCAAAAGTATTTATTAAACACTTACTATACCCCAAGAACTAAGTTGTGAGGATACAAGTAAGGGTGAAAACACGTCCCTGCCCTCAGAAGCTTATATTCAAACAAAAAGACAACATGCAGGCAGAGCTGTCAATCTATTCCAAGAAGGATTAGCTGTTATCACTCCCCTCCCCTGCTCCCTCCCTCTCCCGGGCACTGCCCCTGTACCTTGTGCTGTAGCCTGAGTGCTGAAGTGAGCAGAGGTGGCCAGGGAGCCCCGGGGACTAGGGGTTGTTGGCGTCACTCGCATTCGAAGCCGGTCCAGCTCACCAAATCGATCAGGAAAGGCCTTCGGCTGGTCTTCCATTTTCTGCCTGTGCCCTGAGAGGAGGGAGGAAGTGTCTGTCAGCATCGAGTTCCAGGAGTTTGCCTTGTCGTCATCCATCCCCACCTCGTCTCTTGCCTCTACTAACCCAGGGAAGGAAAGATTTCACAATCTCCCCCATGACCCCGCCAGGAAGGGTTTCCTTGGGATCTCACTGAAAGGTCTCAGCCTGGGTCTCCCATGATGGAGAGCCAGGATGACAGAATGGAAGCAGCACCGGATCTGGCATTTGAGAACATGAGCCTGAACCCCGACTTTGCTACTGTATGACCTTGGCAAGTTATTTCACCCTTCCAGGCCTCAGTTTCCTCCTCTGTAAGCTGAGGGGGCTGGATGGGATGAAGACTTCTTTCTGCTCTAAGTCCCACACTCTGAAACATAAGCAAAACCTTGGGAGGCTGGGGGAGGGGTGATGCACCTTGGTGGCTGCTACTAGCTCCCTAAAAGATGATGAGAATAATTCAATTCAGTCAACATTTATTAAGCAACCCTTCTCTACTCGAAGCACTGAGAATACAAAGACAAAAGCAAAGCAATGCCAGCCTTCAAGAAGTTTACGTTCTATGGGGTGCGTGTGCGGGAGAATATAACACACACCTACACACAAGTAGATACATAGTATATGCAGAGTAACTTCAAGAGGGAGAACATGATAATAACTGGTGGGGGAGGGGTAGAGGGAGGGAAATAAGGGAAAACTTCACTTAGGAGATAGTTTTAAGGTTTGCAAAGTGCTTTCCAGACACCTTTGTGAGGCAGGAATACGGATCTCAATTTCCCTTTTACACAGAAGGAAACTGAAGCTAACTTTCCACACAGGTGGGAAGTAGCACAGCTGACATTTGAACCCAGATCTTAATTTCCACTTTACCATTCAGCTCCTTCCATGGAAATTTATGCACCTGTAGCTCCTCCCCTGAGAGGGTCATTGCAGGAAGTTTTTAAAGATTGAGGAGATCTTAGCAATCACCTGGTTCAATCCCTTCACTTTACAGATGAGGAAAGAGAGGGTCACACAGGTGCTTATCAGCAGGGCCGAGAACTCAGGTTCTCGGATTTCCAATCCAGGGCTCTTTCCACAGCACGATCCCACGTCCCTTTCTTGGGAGATTATCTGAGTCCAACCCCTTTATGGTAGAGGTGAACTGGTGTCCAAAGAGGGGAAGAGTCTTGGCCAAAGCCATGTGGTAGTATCGGGGGCGGCGCCGAGGCCAGAACCCAAACGGACCAGCCTTCCCACTGGTGCTTGGCTTGGCATTTAAGGCCACTTGTAACCTGGCCCCTCACTAGCTTTCCAGTTTTCTTACACCCTCTTCCCCTCCGCGGTCCCCAAGACCCAGTGACTTGGGCCTCCTGGCTGTTCCATGAACAAGACCCTCCATCTCTCAGCTCCAGGCATGTTCTCTGGCTGTTCACCATGCCTGGACTGCCCTCCCTCATCTCCACCTCCCTGCTTCCCTGGCCTCCATCAAGTCCCAGCTAACGGCTCATCCCCTACAAGAAGCCTTTCCCGAATCTCCTCAATACAAGTGCCTTCCCTCTACCGATGATCTCCAGTTTAATCCTGTAGACATCTTGTGTGTACATAGTTCTGTTTGTATATTGTCTCCCTTCATTGGACTGCAAGCTCCCTGAGGGCAGGGTTTTTACCTTTCTTGGGAGGGGGTGCTCTCCAGCACTTAGCACAATGGCGAGCACACAGCAAGCACTTAATAACTGCTTGTTCACTTGGTTTGTCCTGTCCTACATATGACAATGGCAGCCAAGAAGAGGGAATGCGATTTGGGGCCCTATTAGAAGAAGTGGATTGGCTGGGGTGGGAAAGGGCTGCCTTTCACCACGGTCAGACACCATGGAGAGATCATTTAGGGAAGGGGGATGCCAAGCTGAAGTCCACCCCAAGAATGGCGAAAGGGCTGGGGACCAGGTCATAGGAGACGCGCAAGGACGTAAGTCGGTGAGTCAGGCATTTATTAAGCGCCTACTACGTGCCAGGCACGGTGCTAAGTGCAAGGGATACAAAAAGAGACTGATGGCTTCCCCTGTCCTCAAGGAGCATCCAGTCTAATGGGAGAGGAGAAGATCGGGCAACCCAGCTGCTGTCTTCATACATCTGATGGGCTACCATCTGGAAAATGAAATCAGCGGCCCCTGAGATGTTACCCTGGACTCCAGTGTTGTGACAAGCGGTGACAGAGGCTGCTAGGGCTGTCGTGCTGGGCTGGAGTGAGGGATGGCCTGCCCCCCAGAGCATCCTGGGGAGCCCAAAGGCCCTCTGCCATTGTGTTTGAACCAGTGGCAGAGAGGAAAAGGGCTCCTTTCTACTCAGGAGGACGGGGAAAGGGGAAGCAACCGATGGGCCCCCAAGGCTCCTACAAAGGGGCTCTGCGCTCAGAAGCTCTAAGTGCTCAAACAGACATGCTCCAAACACTGTCTTAGTCATCAGCCCTTCCCCAGGGCCTCATGTTTCTCAAATGGAATATTAAACATTGATTAATCATCTATTTAGAAAGGCAGTGTGGTGTAGGAGTTACACTGAGGTATGGTGGAAAGACTGGCGGACTTGGAGTCACGGGCCTGGAGTAAGAGCACCTATTCTGTCTGGGACTACTTGTGGGTCCTAACCCCTCTGGGCCTCGGTTTCCTCATTTATAAAGTAAGAGACATTGGACTGGGGGAACTCTGAGGTCCCTTTCAGCTCACAGCCTAGACTGGAGGCAGGAAAAGCTAGGTTCAAATGCTGCCTCAGAGACTTTGGGAGAATAACCTCTCTAAGCCTTGGTTTCTTCATCTGTAAAATGGGGGAATAACTGCACCCATCTCCCAGGGACGATGTGAGTTTTAAATGATACTGTACTTGGCAACCTTAAGGCCCTATGTAAACCTAAGTTGCTACCACCACCTACCACCACCATCAGCCACTACCACCACCATCCACCCCCACCATCACTATTTTCAACCACCACCGTCAGCCCTTGCTACTATAATCTACCACTACCACTAACGACCATTCTCCCCACCTTCAACTCTTACCTATCACTCTCACCACCATTCACTTCCACTCACCTCTACCACCATTCACCGCCATCACTACCACAACCACTTACGCCACCACCATTCACCGCCATCACTACCACAACCACTTACGCCACCACCATTCACCGCCATCACTACCACAACCACTTACGCCACCACCATTCACCGCCATCACTACCACAACCACTTACGCCACCACCATTCACCGCCATCACTACCACAACCACTTACGCCACCACCATTCACCGCCATCACTACCACAACCACTTACCCTACCACCATTCACCGCTATCACTACCATGACCACTTATACTACCACCATTCAACATCTGTCTATCTATCTATCTATCTATCTATCTATCTATCTATCTATCTATCCCTACTATCACTACCCACCACCACCACTACATGCCAGGCGCTGTGCCAGGACCTAGAAATACAAATATAAAATGAGAAATATTCCTTGACCTCAAGGAGCTTAATGTTCTACTGGGGGGAACATAATGTACATAGGTGAATAAAAATATGATGCCATTTCCAAAGGGAGGGGCCGCCAAGAGGGGGAGACCAGGAAGGGATTTGAGCGGGTATCCCCTGAGCTGACATCATGCCCTCCTCAACGTGCAGAGGGAACAGCAAAACTCTGGAATCAGAAAACTGGGGTTCAAATCTCCCCTCTGATGTTTATTACTTCTGTGGCCCCGGGCAAGTCACTCAATCTGCTAACAGCCCTAGGTAATTCTCTAAGATTATAAACTGCAGAATAGCTGCCAATATACTGTGGGGCTTATTTCACTTTTTTTTTTCCAGTTTTTATAAGAACCTTTAAAAGATCCTTTGGATGAGGAAGTTTCTTCAACAAGAATTCCCTACACCAAAGATTCTTAACCTGGAGTCCACAGATTAAAAAAAAAAACCCAACAAACACACATTTTGATAACTGTATTTCAATATAATTGATTTTTTTCATGATCCTGAGGATTTTGTTTTATGCATTTTAAAACATTTTGAGAAGAATTTCATAGGTTTCACCAGACTTCCCAAGGAACCCACAACACAAAAAAGGTTACCAACACCTGTATACCAATGAACTCCTAGGTGTGACCCCCAAATTAGGAATTCAAACAAAATAAACCTGAAAACACCCATCAGGTCTGAATTCCTTAGGCACAGCCTGCCTTCTCCTGCCTCCCTGCTTGCACTTCCTCACACCTCCAATGCTATCCCTTGCATCCTAGACTGGCTTGAGAGCCAATCTCAGCCGTCACTCTCTCCGGGACATTTGTCCAGATTTCCCGACAGTCCTAACCTTCCCCCTGGGCCTTGGAGAACCCTGCACTCTCTGATGCATTAAGATATGTGTCCAAACTCTAATCCTGGCCCCCCCCCAGGGGGCCTAGGAGCTCCATGAAGGCAGAATGACCCTTTATCGCCTTATTTAAACTGTGTTTCTCATGCCTGAGGCCAAGCATGCCTGGCCAATGTGAGAAGCTTAATAAACACTCCTTGAATAAATAGGAATTGGGAAAGGCACTGGATGGGGAGTCAGGAGTCTCCCAAGTCTCTGGGTGACCTCAGTCTTCTCATCTACAAGACATGGGAGGGGTGGGAGGGAGGCAGACACTCTCAGTATGTTACTAACAAAGACCAATACTGATACAGGTTCAAGGTTTGCAAAGTGCTTTTATGCACATTATATAACAGCACAAGAAGGGACACTAGTGATCATCTGGTCTTACTCCTCTCATTTTATGGAGGAGAAAATTGAGGTACAGAGAGATGAGACAGACTGCAAGGCAGAGATGTAGTGGGAAAGAGCACAGTCTCTGGATTCAAAGGGCCTGAGTTCAAATCTCACCTCTGACAGGTATGACCTTAGGCAATTAACTGAAGCTTCCTGGGCCTCAGCTACCTCAACTGAAGAGGGGGAGGGGGCTGGCCTGTGAGGTCCCTTCTCACC